GCTGCGGTCGGACACCCTGCCGCTCCGCACGGTGCTGGCCCACTAGGCCTCGCGACGCGCGGCCCGCCGCCCGCTGCGCCCGTCCCCGGGCGCCCACGTGCTGCGAGCCCTGCGCCGAGCAGCCCGCCCCGCGGAGCGGAGCGGCGCGCCCCCTGCTCGCAGGGGGTGCAGCGTTGAGTCGGGCTTGTGCCTCTACGGGAGGGAAATTCAAAAATAGTTCGAACATCGGCAGGAGACACTTTGTTATTTATTTATTTATTTATGATTATTAGTATTATTATTATTATTACTATTATTAGTATTATTAGTGTTATTACTTTATTATGATTATTATTACTAGTATTATTCTTAGCACTAGTATTTTTACTATTTTTTTTGTTATTATCATTAACACTATTATCTGCATTAGTATTACTATTATTAGTATTATTTTTTAAAATTGATACTATTATTATCATTCGTATTATTATTATTGTTATTATCATTATTATCATTATTATTATTATTATTATTATGAATGTTATTATCATCATTACTATTATTAGTATCATTAGTTTTAGTATTATTATTATTATTATTATTATTATTATTATTATTATTATTATTTAGTATTACCATTATATACATACAGATATGTGTATATTTCATCATTTTTGAACATTTTTGGATGGAGTAGTTGCTGGGTATTTGTTTAGATTTTTCGTCCAGAATCCGCATGCGGGGACCGTGCCCGACCTAAGGCTGGCGGGTCGCCGGGGGGCCGCCGTTCGGTACCATCCCAACATACTTCTACCTTGTGTGCGTCGCTCCTCCCCCCCCCAGGAGCGACGCGCGCGCCGAAAAGTCTTGTGGTGTAAGCTCCGTGGCGGGCGCTTTAGGGCCATACCGTTTAGAAAACGATGCGCGACAAAATGGTTACACTATATGTTCTGGTCGGACGCACGCCTCCAGGGAGGACAGGTGGAGCGCTCCAGAAAGGGCCTAGCCTTCGAGGATCGAAGGTGTGGGGTCGCAACTCCCCACCAGGCGGGTTCTTAGCACTCTCCTCCTGCCATGGCGCTGCTGTCCGTGGCTTGACGGATTCGGAGCAGGAGTCCACCGCTGGCGCCTGCGAGGCGAGCGCTGCTCGGCTGCCCGACCGAGCTGGACCGCATCCGCGGCTTACCGTGCTGACCGAATGCGGGAGCCAGGGCTAACGGGTGGCAAGAGGGCTTGGAGGCGCGCGGTACGATTCGCCATGGTGGCAGGGAATTGCTGGTACCACGGCCAGCTTCTCATTCGTCCTATGGTCGCCCGTGTAGCCCAGTGTTTTAGGCCGCATCATCATCATCGAGCTGCTGAGCCTGCCCTACCAGGGCCACTTCGACGGACACAAGTTTCGTCCCACCGACATTTGATGAATGTCTGGAACTACAACTGATTCGCATCGATCGAGTAGGAGAGCTACTGCGCCTAGCCAAAGAGAAGCACATTGCCATCCAGGGCACGCTCATGAGTGGCACCACGCCTTGGAACTGTGCTGGCTATCGGATCTACCCCACTCCACGGACGTCCACAAGAGCCAAGGACGGGTGCTTGACGGCCCTCAACCTCTACCACTTCAACCCGTTAGAGGTCCATTGCGTGCACGAATGGTTCCCAAGACGACTCATTGGGCTCCGAGTTAGACGCGAAGGACGCCACGAACGCGACTTCTACATCTTGAATGGCTACGCGCCCACCAACACCCCACCATATCAGTCCGCAGGTGCAGACCGTGACAACCAGCTTCAGGAACGTCGACTGGCACAAAACACTTTCTGGCATGCTAGTGAGGCTGCACTTCGTCGTGCCCCTCAGCGCACCATTCTCGCATGGTGCCTTGACGCCAACGGGACGATGGCCCCATAATTACCACACGTCGGATTCGCTGGAGGTGACCGTCACCCTCGTGTAACTAAGCATAATGGCGGCCAACTTCTCAACGTACTCCAGGCAATGCATATAACGGCGCTGAACACTCACGGCAGCAAGAGTACGCATGCTGGAGCATTGCCTCACACGAACGGCAGCACATGGAATCCGATTGACTTCATATGTACGCGTCTGCGGGGAGGGGCAGGTTACGGTGCTAAGGTGCTTCGATCATTACCAGTGGGCCTCGAAGGTTACCGAGACCATCGCCCACTTGAGGCTCGGATATCATTCAAGTTCCGCTGTCGCAGTATCCCGACACCACAGTTGCCCCGATGGAATCGCGACTTGCTCTTGCGTGACCTGCAGACTCCTGTTCATACAGGTGAGTTACCAGCACGTGTCTTAGATGTCCGCAGCCGTTTGTGCCAGGAGCTGCACACTCGCCGACTTCACGGCGATCGGAAGAATGAGTGCGGACCAGAACTCCAGTTTCCTACCCAATCGGCTTACTACAATGCTGTGGAGGGTGCGATAGTGGACGCTGCATACCCCATCTACGCAGGGAACCCAGCAGCCGTCAAGAAACCGGACCTGTCAGAAGACACCCTCCAGTTGATTCATCGTAAGCAGTACTGCCACATAATGCTTTCCCGTGTATTGAACCACCAGTCATGGTTGTACAAGTCCATGTTTTCTGCATATCGCCGTGCTGCGAGAGTGGCGAAGCAGGCGGTCCGCTCGGAGAAGCGCCAACATGTCGCGGCTCTCGTTGCAGACGCCGAGAGGGCTGACGCTGTCCACGACATCCGCATATGTTATTCCATCATCAAGAGGCTTGCGCTCAAACCCAGGATGCCGATGCTGACAGTCCGCAGCCCCAACACCGGCGACCCGTGCTTTGACGACGTCGAGGGCCAGCAGGTCCGCACTGATGCTCTCTGCTCCACTTTCGAGGCTACCGAGTTGCCCATGACGGAGGACGGAGGCCCCCAGGAGATCACGGATGCCCCCGATGAGGACCTCATAAGCCAGTATGACGTAAACGACGTGCCGGCGGCCCTCAACAGGCTCCCCAGCTACAAGAGCGCCCCCGCCCAAAAGTGGACCGACCCCGTCACCTCTGGAACCCCTCGACAGGGCCCCGAAGGAGCCGCGGCTGAACTCTGGAAGCTCAGCGCTGACATCGTTGGAGATCTCCTTCCTGGAGTCTTTCGGGCCGCCCAAGCTTACCAACGAATTCCCCAAAGGTTCAAAGATGGCAAAACGGTCTCCTCGAGGAAGCCTAAGGGCGACGGGTTGAATTCCAAGGGTCCTTACAGAACCATCAATCTCATAGGTCACGCGGGCAAGGCCTTCGCGAACGTTGCCATCGTGCCTGAGCCGCGCCAGATGTCAAGCAAGCTCTCAGCTACTCAGTTTGGAGCACTTCAGGGACGCTCCACGAGAGACGCCATTGCACTAGTGGACGAGAGTGGCAGACGTTTTCGTGCCAATCCACGCCGGGCCCAGTTCCCAGCCACCATTTTAGTATCGACTTTGATTGACCTAGAGAAAGCATTTGACTTGCTCGACAGGCAACAGGCGTGGACTGCTTTAGACGACTCGCCTTATCCCGCCAGGCCCGATTAGTGACCGATGAGCTATACAACGGAACGTGCTACATACTACGAGACAATAGAACAAATCGTCCGCGCCGTCGGCTTCTGATTCGCAAAGGCGGTCGGCAGGGTAGTGTAGAAGGGCCTGGATTAGCGCAGGCGACCAGACTAGCTGCAGGTTACCAGGGCATCCAGGCGCAGTGCGACCCCTTCTTGCAGGTTTTCAGGAATTCCGATGGTTTTGCGACGAACGGGTTAACGAACCTAGACGTGTCCCAGATCAAATTCGTCGATGACTTAATCGCGCTGACGGTGGTCGACGATTTCGATGCTGTCACCTCGTTCTTAGACTTCCTGGGGATTCACGTTAATGCCAGTGGTCTTACCATGAATGTCCCGAAAAACCGAAGTGATGTTGAGCGTTGTGGGGAAAGGGTACAGGAAACTTCGGCAACATCTTGCAAAAAAGCAGACTGGCATTCGCATGGCCCACGTAGACATGCAGGCTCGCCCGATGCACCCAACGCCGACGGTTGAGTACCTCGGTTGCCTGCTCTCCGCCACCGGCCCCTACTCCTCCGAGATCAAGACCCGCCTCTCCTCCGTGAAGAAGGCGCGCGGGCGACTGGCCCAGCGAGTTCTTGAAGGCAGCCTCAGCATCCGATTGAAAGTACGGCTGTGGTGTGCCCTTGTCCGCTCTATTGCGCTATATGCACTGGAAGTTGCTTTCATGACTCGTGCGGGGCTGAAGAGGTTGGAGCGATGGCAGACCCGTGAACTTCGGCACATCCCAAGGTCCCAAGCCCACATGCATCGCGTCTCCAACTCGGACATCCGCCGAAGAGCCAACATCTTCATTGTCAGCTCCACTCTCTTGTATCGTAGGCTTCAGTGGTGGCGGCACGTTATCGCACGAGGACTTCTACCGGGGCCCCCTGACCACGAACCCGCGATAGCTGTGCGATCCGTTGTGTTCGGGAAGCTCTCGTTTGAGGACCTCGGGTGCCGCGGCCGCTCACGCCACCTAGGTCAACTTCTATCCGACCTTCGAGCGCCTTGGTCTCGCATCCCAGCAGAAGACGAGGGGCGAGCGCCGTCGGATTCACCGAGTGTTTCCCGTGACTGGCTGGAGTGGCTCAACGTGCTCTCCGAGTCCGAACTCAAAGCAGCCCTCTCGCACGAAGCTGAGAGCGATCAGGCACCAGAGGCGGGTGATATATTTGCCTTTGGACTTCTTGCGCGTCCCGAATGTGGAAAAAGGATGCAATGGCCAGAAAGGTTTGGAGAAACACAGGTGTGCAGTTCACTCCATCGTTGCAAATCGCGTGGACATTCCCCCCGAGGACCTCAGCGCCCGCAGATGCCCATCGTGCCCCCAAGTCTTTGCCCGCAAGGACACCCTGATCAGGCATATCCAGTTGAAGCGATGTCCTCACCTTTCCGACGCGCAGCCTGTTCGGGCCCAGGCACGTCTTCTTGGTTTGAGTGGACCTCTTCAGTCTGAAGGTGCGCCTCTCGTGCACGGGCGCGATGTTCACACCGGCGGCCGAGCTTCTCAAGACGCGGGATGCGGGCGAAGCGGGGGTCGAGAGCATCGACGCAGCCAACAAAAACACGGAGATAGCGGGCATCTCGAAGAAGGACAGGTCGATGACGAAGCTTCTGCTGCAACGCGAAGACAATTCCAGAGGCTCGGCGCGGGGCCAGAACGTGGTGGCGAGGCTCGAGGTCGGATCGCAGATGCAGATGGCGCTGGCAGCGAGCACGGCGCACGATCAGAAGGTCGGGGGGGAGGCGAGGGACACGGTCGCGGCCGCCGACTACCGCGGCCACCCGCTGGGCAAGAAACCAGACGCCTACCTCCGCATGCTGCTCTTCAGGCTGAGCGAGCCGGTGGAGGCGAGGTACGACGAGGTCAAGGCCGCGGTAGCTCAAGGACCCCGCCCCCCAAGAGTCCGCATCGGCGTTGACTACGCTGGTGGAGTTCGGGACGAGCCTCAAGGATCCAGAGGTGCGCCTCAAGGCCACCAGATGCTTCGACGTGAGAGTCATGACGACGATCGACGGAGAGGAGGTGGAAGAGGCCAAGTGGATATTCACAGCTATGGCGCATCCCACTGCGATGGCGGCCACGTATGCGCTCAAGACCAACGGCGGCCTGAAGTCGGTGAGTTTGATCCTGGAGGACGAGGAGGCTCCGAGGTCCAAGACCGCCAAGGAGCTCGAGAAGCTTGTGTTCAGGGGGGGCGGGAACGGATCCAACGGCAAGCAGAAGCGGGCGAAGAAGAAGTGATTCCATCGGCAGACATGCGCCCACGCCGTTCCCAGCCTCCCACTTTAGACCTCCGAAGTTTTTTTTGTTTTCAGATTTCGAGGGTTTGGCTCTGGTGGAAGCTGCTTCAGTTGTTTTGAGGAGGGCCCGCCTTCATACTAGAGGGTATCTCGGCGGCCGCTCTCGTTGTGCCATCCCCTCATGGGGAGGGGGTGCTCGAGCGTGGGACCGTAGGGTTCTGCGATTGTGCCCGCACCTCAGGCCCTCTATCTCGCAATCAGGGTGGTTGCGAGGTTGCGCCGTTGTTACGGTAGGTTTTTTTAACTGGGCCCACCGCTCAACATCAGACTGAACGTTCGAGGGTGTTGCGTTGGTAAAAACGAAGCAAACAGTTTGCCTCTGAGAGATGGCAGCATTTTTTGGTTCGGGGTTTTGCCGTATCGGCCATCTGGTACTGGTATGTCCCCGTGCGCTCCTGTGCGCTCCCTCTGCGCGTGACGACCGCGGTCAAGCATCGGCCGTCCACGGCCCATAGGGCCGGCCTCTCAGAGGCCACTGAGCAGTCTCCCCGGGGGGGAAGAGACAGCCTCACGTCGCCGCCGCCGCCGCCGTCGTCGTCATCGTTGTCTTCGTCGCCGCCGTCGTCGTCGTCGGCGCCGTCGTTGTCGCCGCCGTCGTCGGCGCCGTCGTCGTCGCCGCCGTCGTCGTCGCCGCCGTCGTCGTCGTCATCGTCGTCGTCGTCGTTTTCCGTCGTCGTCGTCGTTGGCGTCGCCGCCTCCGCCGCCGCCGTCGTCATCGTCGTCGTCTTCCGTCGTCGCTGCCTCCGCCGCCGCCGCAGCCGTCGTCCCCGTCGTCGCTTCAGTCTGTGCGCCCCGCGGCGCCATACGGCCAGGCCAGGGCCGCGTCGCTGTCCTTCGCCTCGGAGTACTCCGCGCCACCGCCGCCCGCGGCCGACCCTTGGCCGCAGGACACGCCCCCAGCGGTGCCGTCGCCGCCGCCGCCGCCGCCGCCGCCGCCGCCGCCGCCGCCGTCGTCGTCGTCGTCGTCGTCGTCGTCGTCGTCGTCGTCGTCGTCGTCGTCGTCGTCGTCGTCGTCGTCGTCGTCGTCGTCGTCGTCCGTTGTCGTCGTCCGTTGTCGTCGTCCGTCGGCGGCGTCGTCGTCGTCGTTCGGCGTTCGTCGTCGTCGTCGTCTTGATCGTCATCTTGATCGTCGTCTTGATCGTCGTCATCGTCCGTCGTCCGTCGTCCGTGGTCGTCGTCGTCGTCGGTGTCGTCGTCGTCGTCGTCGCCGTCGTTCGTCGTCGTTCGTCGTCGTCGTCGTCGTCGTCGTCGTCGTCGTCGTCGTCCTCGTTCGTCGTCTTCATCGCAGTCGTCGCCGACGTCGCCGTCGCGCCACCCCGGAGGTGCCCACGCCGCCGCCCGCAGAGCGGCGGCCGCTGGCGCCGCGGGGGGTGGGCAGCCAGAGATCATGGGGCGGGAGAGGGTGTCGGTCGGCCACGCGCAGAGGGGGGTGGGGGGAGGGGGGAAGGCTTCTTAGAAGCACCCCTGGTTCTTAGATGGCGCCCGCCGCCGCTGCAGGGTGGCCTCTCGGGTGGCGGTGGTTCCCTCGGGGGAGGAGGACGAGGAGGAGGAGGAGGAGGAGGAGGAAGAGGAGGAGGAAGAAGAGGAGGAGAAGGAGGAGAACGAGGATCAGCCACGCGAGGAGGTTGGTGGGGGGAGGGGGGAGGGCTTCTTAGAAGCACCCCTGCCTCTTAGAAGGCACGGGCCTTACCTGTAGAGGTAAGGCCGGCGCCATCTGAGAAGCAGCCTCCTTCTAAGAAGCCCCCTCCCCACCCTCCACCCCCCTGTGCGCGCCGCCAAGTGTCCGGGGCAACGGCCCCAGAGATCCTTCGCTCAACAAACATTGGAGGAGCAGGCGGTTCTTGGCCGTTTTCAGCCTCTGGGGTCCCTAGCGGGGCCTCGGGGGAGGGTCAACAAAAACGCAAAACCGGCCCTGGGGACCTCAGGGGCCCACGCATCGAAAGGATTGAAGCAGCCGTCTGGGTTCTGGGGGTTGTCAGAGGTACCCCTGGCCCAAGGTTCAGGGGAGCAGGAAGTCACGATGATGGTACATTCCAGGATTTCCCAGGTTTCCTAATGTTCCACATCGGCGTCACCCCAACATACTTCTACTATATGTGCGTCGCCCCCCCGGGGGCGATGGCGGGCGTCGTGGCGAGCGCTTTCTGGCCACGCTGCTCGGGAAACGATATATACTACAGGACGGGTGCACCACATGCTTGGGCCGCACGCGCGCCTCCAGGGAGAACGTGTGGCGCAAGCACGTCTCTGCGCGCCCCACCACAAGGGGGGCACCGGCTCGGGGCTTCGAGCTCCCAGGCTCTCGCGGCCTCCGTCGCTTCTCGGCGTGGGTTTCGGGCGTTCTCGCCGGCCCCCGGCGGTGGGCGCCGGCCTCCCGGTGGAGTCCTGGCCGAGGGCGGGGGCCGGGGGCAGCGTTGGCCAGGCGATCGCAGGCATGGATCAGGAGGAGGAGGAGGAGGAGGAGGAGGAGGAGGAGGAGGTGGAGGATGGGCGGGGGGATAGGGGCGTGGATTATCGACGGGTCCCGTTTCCATGTAGGGAATCGCGGATCTCCGCCGCCAAACGAGGCGGCACCGGCCGCATTCTGGGGAGGGCGCCTGGCCCCTGCGCCGAATCCATGGATCGCTAATCCATGCTTGCGCGCCCCCGATTGATGTGAGGCGTTACAAATACGGCGTCGCCCCCCCCCAGGGGCGACGCGCGCGCCGAGAAACCTTCTGCCGTGAGCTCTGTGGCGGGCGCTTTCGGGCCACACTGCTCAGAAAACGATTTGCTACAAGATGGTTTCGCTGTATGGTCGGGCGCACGCCTCCATGGAGGACAGATGGAGCGTTCCAGAAAGGGCTTAGCCTTCGAGGATCGAAGTAGTCGTCATCTCTTCCTCGGCGATGTCGGTGCTCGGCTACTTTCCAGCCTCAGGATTAGGGGGCCGCATGCGAACCCTACCCCTACCCCCCACGATTTCTGAGGGGGAGGGTGGGGCTCACTGCGCTCGGAAGCTCCCGAGTGAAGTGAACCCCACCCTCCCCCTCAGAAATCGTGGGGGGTAGGGGTAGGGTTCGCATGTGGCCCCCTAAGGAGCCCTCCCGGCGACTGCGCCTCGCGGCGAGCGCTCCTGCGGGTGCCCGCATCGCGCTGAGCGTTGCCGGGGGTACAGATGGGCAACGCTCCAGGGGTCGCTCATAAGGCACCTCTTCGGCGGCGAGCGGGGGGGGGGGGAAGCGAGAAGGAGCAGAAGGCACTGGCTACTTCTCAGAAGGCGTGGGGATGTCTGAGCCTTCCGAAGAGGCCTGCCCCCCCCTCACTTCCCCCCCCCCCCGGGCGCGCGGGCGCGTGCCGCCCGTGGCCTGGGGAGCGTCGCCCCCGGCCTGGACAGGGCCGCTGCGCTCCCTCGGAGAGCCGCGGCCGCTCCGGGCTGCGGGCGGCGCCCGTGCGGTGCCGGCAGGGCCCGGCGCCGAGGGGCCGGATCGCGGCGCGTGGGCCTGCCGTGGGGGGCCCCAGGAGCAGAGCCCAGCACACCGAAGAAGAAAAAGCAGCACAGGCGTAAACTCAGGAGGGAGGGAAACACACAGGCACAAGTCATCGTCGATTCCAAAGAATAGACGGGAAAACATGGGAAGCGGGGGGGGGAAGACAGCAACCCCGAAAATATGGGGAAATATGGGGACTAATTTCATGTGTGTGTATTCATTTGTGCGTCCTGGGGCCCCTCCAAACACACCGAAGAAGAACAAAACGGCACCGGCGTAAACTTTGGGGCTCTGCGCGGATCTCTTGGATCCGCGCCGCCCCCCACCCCCGGCGGCGCCTCGGGCGCCGCCCCTCGCGCGCCGGGGAGAGGCGGGCCCGGCGCGGGTCCGAGACATCCGCGCGGAGCGCCAACGGTTTTGTAGTGCATGCCGTCGTGTCTTCTGCTGCAGCAGCTGGCCGGCTGCCCCGTGCGGTCCGGAGGCCTGGCGGAGCGGGTCCCTCCTCGGCGGGTTCTGGCCCGCCGCGCCTCGGCGCGAGGGGCGAGTCCTGTGCCCAGTGAGGACAGATCTCTCCTCGGGCCAAAGGCAGGAAGTTCGGGGTCCGGGGAGGGTCATCAGTTTGGTCCATGAGGTGTCGATGTCGGGGTGCCTGGGTCGATCTTCAGGAGCCTTCGGCGAATCTTCGACATGGTGCGTTTCGCCCGAGACCGCCCTGCAGAAGGGATCATAACCACTATCCCGGGTGCGATGCACGAGGCGAAGATCAGAGCTACGATGAGAACTCCAGAGGGGATATAAGGACGCTTGGCCTCCCCGCCCGCTGCGGCCATGGAGCCCACAGTCAATCCCGCGGACAAGCAGAGATTTCAACGATGAGTTCATGCATAAATTTATTCTTGGTGAAACCATGTGTTAAAAATCCAATATTTTAAAAAACAAATCCTATGCATTATAAACTGACCTCTACTGTCCGCGGGATGGGGCTCAGCCGTTCCTCAGGAGGGGAAAAAACACACAGACACAATTAATCTTCGATCCCCAGGAAAATCTGGGAAAATATGGGAAGCGGGGGGGGGAAGGCAGAAACCCAGAAAATATGGGAAAATAGATTGGGAATCCTTTGACTTGTGTGTATCTCTTTGTGTGTCCTGGGGGCCCCTTCAGCTCCCAAAAGTCCCGAGCCTCCGCGCCCCTTGGCTCCTCCGAGCCCTCCGCCGCGCGGAGCGGGGCGACGCGCGCCACACCCGCTCGAGCGCTCAGCGCGTCGCCGGGGGCCGCCAGCCGCGGCACGCGGAGCCGCCGCGCCCGACGCTTCGTGTGCCCCCCGCCGTGGCCCCCCGCGTGAAGGCGGGCGTGCCCCCCTGCAGGGACTTTTTTTCGACGAGGAATGAAAAGTACCCCCAACACAGTCCAGACATGCTCCAATTATAGTCTGGGGACTCTTTTTGGGGGCATTTGTTGCCCTTTTGGG